TTATGATGAGTGAAGTTATATCTATAGCTAATGAACAAAATTTTGGAAACTGTGCGATGGAAGCACGTGTTAAACTTTATGAATGCACTGTATAGTGCCGTCACTACTAAATAATAGCAAAACTTGGACTAATCTGACTAAGGAAGAGAAAAAAATGGTAGAGGATTTCCAAAATGAATGTTTAAGAAGGATACTCGAAGCACACAGCAAGACACCACTATGGTGGCCGAGGGCTGCCACTACAATTTTACCTCTGAAATAAATAAAAGCAAATTAAAAAATTAAAAAAACGAAATCAAAATCAAAAAGAGCAGCAGGGAGACACTCGCATATTGTTGGGCCAAGTTCATTCGCAATTGTATGAACAGGAATGTATCTTGCCTTTCCTGAATGACCAGCATACATGTACACATAGTCAGCCAGTTGTCCTCTGCTGACATAGTAAACCAGCAAGACCAAGACATCTGTATCGTCACAGCGGATTATGATCCTATCATGGTCCTTTGATAGTGCACAGGCATGCAGGATCATACGTGTATCGGCCTCCTCCTGGTTACTGTACAGTGATTCAACAGATGACGCTCCAGATGGAGCAACCACCTTCACAAGAGTTAGGTACTTGTCTGCTCCCCTGGATCTGATAAGTAGGTAACAAACTGGAAGAACCCCGCCGCTCGCGTTCTGTTGTCTTGATGGATGACACGTTATCATACCAATCAAACACAATGGTCACAGACGTCAAATCCAAGGATGGGTTGTGGAGAAGTCTAACTGTACGTTTCTGTACCACTTCCGCAAAATCCTTGAACGTGGTGAAGTGATTCTCATTCAGTGACTGTACCATGGTAGCACATTCACTTGCATCTTTGGATTCGAAGTACTGCTCAACATCACGTACTAGCTGCTTGGTTTCATTGGTCAGCCATGGCAATCCGTTCTTGTTGGCAAAGGATTCAGCTGAAGTGAGGAACATCTGTGACAGTGCTTCGTGTGCAAGACGGACACCTCTGATTCCACGGGCATACTGCTTTCCTTGGAGCATTTGGTTAACTGTGGCAGCTGCGTATACATCTGATGAAGTTAGGATGTTTGTAAGTCCACCATCTCCGAATATCTTGCCAATGCTTGCCAGGAAAGCCATTATCAGATGCATTCCTCCCAGCCTCGTTACTTTGCCCACCAGTGGTTCCGGTCTGCTCCACAGAATCTGCTGTGCCTTGCTGTAGATGGCAAGGTCTGTGGTAATGAGTATGTGATGCTGCCCCAACTCCTCAGATATGTGTACTAGCCTCAACAAAGTAAAAATGGTTGACAAGTCAGATGGTGAGGCATTGATGAAGGGTAGATATCGTATCGTAGTAACGGGGACAGTCTTGGTACTGACGTAGGCATTCAATCCACTCCACGCCGGAATGCTAGATTCACCATCTCCACAGATCCTTGCCACTTGCCATATGAAATCTTTCATTATGACCTTATCCGACATTTCATCCTCCACTTGACAGGGTACAGTGGGCTCTGGCTTCTTTGCAGGCTTGCGGTAGCCTTAGAGTTGTTGTTCCTCACTCTGCCATCAGCTCCAGTTGAAGTTCGAGACCTGACACATCTCTACTGCAGACAAAGACTGCTTGAGTGCGAGGAAGTGTCCTAGTAGTGGATGAGAATGTTGTGAAAGCAGATAGCTTACAGCAATTTGTGAAAGATAATCTCCAGTTTATGATTGTAGTGGATGAGTTAACCTTCAGTGTTAATAGCATCAGGCTCTAAGACAGTAATTTGTGTTTGAGCAAATAGTCCAAAGTTGATGATATTGCGTTAATTATTCGTGTAATTTTGTGTGAAACCAGTATCAATGGTTATCCAGTGAGTGACTATAAGGAAGCTGATTCAGTTAACATCCACCAGGAAGGAGATGTAATGTATTGTTTCATTATATTAATATTGCCCATACTAGATGGGGCTAGTTGTTCTCCCCTCTGAGGGACCAGAGTAATGATGCGACCGCATTGTCCGTTGTATTGGTTATACTTGTGTTTATTTCACAATAAATCTATGTGAATACATCACAGAATGATGGCGTGATTCTACCTCAGGACACTCGCAAGGCAAGTATCTCTCTTGCATTGTCTGCATGAGTTACATAGTCGTGCGATGTGATTGTTATAACCGCCTTCCTTTATAACTCGGTCTTCAAATAAATTTGCATTTAGAACAACTGACCTAGCTATCTGCCCGGACTGAATGACAGGGATGTGTAGCTAGTCGTTGTCTGATTTTATGTCATAACAATAGCGTCAGAGATCTAAGACATGTTCAGTAGGTGTGTGAAATTCGTCCCTTGTCAATTCATTTCATTAAACTGCACACGCTCACTTTGTGTCTTCCATTGCTTTAGGTGGTTGCGCATCGTCTGGATATCTTTGCGTCGCAGAAACGACTGCACAGCGAGGACAACATAAACTATCCCGTCTATAGATTATAGATGAGATACAGCAGACAGGGTGTATAACCATGGAGGCAGCAGATGAGAGGGAGAGTAATTCACAAGAGGGGTGCAGGTTGATTATAGCTGTTCAGATTTATTGTCACATTTGTTTCCTGTTCTTGCTAAATAAATATGAATGCTAATATTAATTTATGACAATTTTATACAAATGTATAATTTTGATAAAAATACATGAATGATTTCTTATAGAGTTACATAATTAAGCAATGAAGTTTTTAATGCTCTTGTAGCTAATATTCGTCTACGTAGTCCCTACATTAGTGAAAAAAAGTAAAATAAACTGAATGTCATTTGCTAAATTGGTTGTACATGTATTGAATTGATTATCGTTCTCCCCACCAAGGGTCATTCACTCATTTCACAATCCTATTAACAAATTTAATACAGAAAATATAATATTCGTTATATTATTATTTCATATATCCTGAGATGATTACTTTGGACATTATATCTCAGTTAACAAGATTTTTCTTACAAATGTAAAAATATTAAAAATATCGCAACAAATCAAGTAATATATTAAGGCATTTACATACATATTATCAGGAGTGAATAATAATAGAATCTATTATTATTCACTCCTGATATTATGTAATTGTATTTAATTGTCAATTAAAATATATTGCAGTAACCAATTTTAAAAGTCGACCACCATTCTTCACACAATGTACACAAAATGTGTCACCAGAAATTCCTTCCAATCCATCAGGGGTGGAAATCCAGGGGGGGGGACAGGGAATTTTCAGAGGGGGGACATCATATCAAATGTCCCCCCGCCACGATTTTGGATCACCATGATTTTGTGTGTAAGTTTGTGTGTGTGTGTGTGTTTGTGAAGTGAGAACCTTTTTATTGTGTGTGATAGTGCGTCAACGATTGGCTTCTTTCCCTTTTTTTTCTTTTTTTTGCCAGCTTTCATTTCATTCAAGTGCATTTGAGAGCATAATAATGATCATGCACAACTTGAGAAAAATGTGTCTTGATAAATTTAGTACCGTTTCTTTTTTAACACGTTTTTTTTCTTATATTAAATAATTCTTATGCAGAAATCATCAAGAGAAAGTATGTTTATGAAAGTTTAGGAGATATCACTCACATTAGACACCGATTCAAGGATTAAGCTGGGAACACGAGCTATATTCACGCAAAGAGGACACTGAGTAACTGAGCATCGGTTTTAATAATGTAATTTTCATTGCAAATTGATGATAACTGAATATTTAACTTCATTATTACATGGTTATTTCTACTTACATTATGGGGCTTACACAAATCTCAGACACACAGACACAGAACAGAGATACACAGAACAACACGAAATTGAAACCTGTTGAAACAAAACGAAATACAAACAGAACGAAAACAAAACAGCGCCCCCTATTTTCAGGCAAATGCTTACCTTTTTTGTGTTTTTTTGTCTTTTTTAAGACCGAACAAACGGTTTTCAATTGAGTATAGTTTAGAACCCGTCCCGTGTACTCATCGATCTCTTCTGTAAATTTGGCGCTATTTGGATCCAAACTGACGGAGCCTTTCATTAACATACATACATACATACATACATACATACATACATACAACATTCGCCAAATTATAGTAAGATACTTGCCTGGATCAGGTCCACGTGGTATTGCAGGAACATCTCACTTGCTTCCAACTCTACCATGACGGGCTCCACGTGTAAGTCATTACAGAATGCTACAAGATTCTTGGTAAGTATCTTTCTATGGGCAGGATCCATCCCAGTAGGCGCATTTCCATGCCTGGCCACTGTAATGTCAGTTTTCATAGTTATCACCAGGTGGCTGCACCTTCCGGCATTTTACTGTTTGGGACTGTATGGATTCTTGTGATTTGAGAACTGATTTCCTGTTAGTAATTTTCGGTTTATACGTTGTTATCTAGTTGTATTTCTAGTTTACGTGACCAATATCGATGTGACCAAGAGAGAAGTGAACTAAATGTAAAGAGGAGGTGATCATGTGATCCGAATAAAACTATCGTTTTGACTGGACTTGACCGACTTCCTAAGTCTCTCGATGGGTGCCGAAAACAGTAAACTCTAAGGTTGAACATCTCTCGACGTTCAGCAAGTCAAGACGTAAGAACTCTTAAGGACTCTTGTTAAAAAGGTAAAACATTGACATTAAAACCAGAAAGATGTCAGAACTCGATGACGGTAACGGGCCAAACCTGGCTGAGGTTCCAGACCTCCAGGGGACCGATGATACGGAAGTCGGACAGGCCACCACCGAGATAAAGTTGCCCGGTGCCGTAGGCGGGAATCCAGAGCCCGACGGTAAACGGAAGCAGGTGTTAACAGAAAAAGGGGCAGAGTACTTCAAGGAGGTGAAGTTGGCCAATCGTAATACCTGCAGCACAGCACGCGAGCTAATGCAGGGACAGACTGAACCCGCAGTCGAGATCCCACGCATGCGCGAACTGTATGGGGCATGGCTCCAGGCTTATGAGAGGCTCCAGGGAGGCCCCCAGACACCCCCTTCGCGTGCTCGCCACTGGTGTCCCCCCACATTTCAAAATGGATTTGTGCGCCTGCAATCCATTACTTTTTTCTGCATCGTTTTACATCATTGCAATCATTTTCAGAACTCATTACAAACTTCATCATCAAGAGTACGGTAAGAGACTTATCGTATTAACCTATTCTCTCTGAAAATCCTCATGTTATCATGAGCGATTGCGAAATTGCTGTATGTTGTGACGTTGCTTCAAGCTGTATTGCGATGAGTTGTCATCTGCTTGACTGTTCCCGTGGGGTTGAAGTAGAATGGCTTCCTCAGAGTGCTCTCAAACATCGTCATCTGCTTGGCTCCATATCGTGTCTGATGTATTCTGGCAACCTCTTGGTTGACCTTCATACATAACAAAAAGCCAGCATGAAACACCGAATAACACAAGGACATGATGTACGTTTCATAACAGCAGCTCGTTCTCACACGAAGTTGGTGGTTAGAGGCAAATAGGTGTTTACAAGATAAAAGCTTGGGGATATCTGTGCAGTTCTACCCTCTCTGCTACTGTTTAGCACTGACGTGTGGCATAACTGAACGTGGATGTTAGCATTGCCATGAGAACGTGCTCGTAGTCAGGGCAACTTACCTTCGTCATGAGATCGTTGATGTTGTCTGTGCAGGCGTTCTTCATGAACACCTGAACGAGGGACTGTATAAACCATGAGCCCCTCTCCGGGTTTCTCCACGACAAGAAACCTGCAGTGTCAAACGCAATGCATGTGATGTGATGCAATGTGATGCAATGCATTGAGATAGAGAGAGCAACTATAGAGAGGGGGAGATGGGGAGAGCAACTATAGAGAGAAGGGGATGGGGAGAGCAGCTATAACATAGAAAGTAAGAGATAGGGAGAGCCGCTATGGATAGGAGGAGATGGGGAGAGAAACTATAGAGATGATGAAATAAGGAGAGCAACTATAGATAGGAGGAGATGGGGAGAGTAACTATAGATAGGAGGAGATGGGGAGAGTAACTATAGAGAGGAGGAGATGGGGAGAGCAACTATAACATAGAAAGTAGGAGATGGGGAGAGCAGCTATGGATAGGAGGAGATGGGGAGAGTAACTATAGAGAGGAGATGGGGAGAGCAGCTATAGATAAATGGGAAGTGCAACTATAGAGAGAAGGAGATGGGGAGAGCAGCTATAGAGAAGAGGAGATGAGGAGATCAGCTATAACAGAAAGACCAGGTGATAAAACGAGCAGCAGCAAGAGTAGAGGTATGAGATATGCACACAAAACCTAGCAGGTCACACACCTGGCATCGTAGAACGAAACACGATGTGGTCACCCATGTTTGGATCTCTCGGCTCCATCTCTGACATTTGTTTTTCCCAGGGGGGACTGTAGCCATCCGAGACATCAGACTTTGTCTGTGGGCTACCGAAGTCAATATCTTCTGCAGCAAATTTCACGAGAACGTCACCGAAAAGAATTGCTAGATGAATACAAACTCATGCAATACAGACGTAGAAAACGACTCTATACGCATTCACATTATAAGACTGTCAAAACCATATTATGATGAGACCACAAATTAGATGCAGCTGCATTGTGACTTACAATATCATAAGCTCACGTTCATGAATTATGAAAAAAGACAACCTACCACCTCTACATGCCTGGATGATAAACAACTTTGGCTTGTCTTTGAGTGCTGGTGCTTGTTCTCCTGTCAAATAGAGACGTACATTGCTTACTACAAAGCGTAACTAATTATGCATTGTCTGTCCTTTCCAATAAAACTGATAATTTGCACAATTTACAAAAGACTTGAACATGCAATAGGTTATCACACCTGAAATATTGTCTAGCTCTGAGGTAAAATCTGATCTAAGCAATTATTGACATCAACTGATTTGAAATAACAACCTAGCTAAGAAATTAATGCGACAGACCTGCTGAAGCAAAACGTAATGCGATCTAATCACAAGATATAAATAACATAAAACATGATCGGAAATCATATTATCTATTGATTAACATCAATTGACTTCAGTCTCGTTTCCCACGAGATACGAGACATTCGCGTGTCCGAGAATGCCAAAGGGCCGCCGTACTTCCGAACATCCTCAGCAGCTTATTGAAGTTGAGCGTGGGGCCACCTGCGGGCCTCCCGTCGACGCCGTGTATCTCGTCGCCATTGCGCCACGTGCCGTGGCTGAGGACGACGATGACGGCGCAGTCTCTGTGGTCGTGGCGCGCAGCGAAGAACTCCAGCTCTTCTCTCATCTGCGCGACGGTGAGGTCCTTCTTCTCCGGCAGCACCTCGAATCCGAGACCCTCAAAGAGCAAGCGCGCGTTGCGCGAGTCGATGTCCGTGCCCCGCCGCTCGCGGAGCCGCTCGAATGCTCTGTTGTTTACGATCAAGCACAGTCCGCTTGGGGAACTCTCCATGCGGTACGCGTCAAGCGGGTCGTATGGGGCGGGCCGCCCAGGACGCACGTCAATGTCTATCAGGTTGGCGGGAGTGTCGCTCGGAAGATATTTTGCCGTGGAAGATGGCGCCGCGCGCTTGGCTGCTGGAGGCCTGCTCCGTAAGAATGGCACCGTGACATCTGGCTTCCTGCGAAATCGATGCAAGAGTTGAAGTTGTAAGGCAACTATTTTGATACATTTATAGTGTTCGGCATCTCACCATCATGCAGAGTTTGCAGTTTGCCTATGTTATAATTATAGGGTTCTATTTAGATAAAAACACAACGATGTAAATTACATACACATAGGGGGCCTACATCACACGATTTAATGTATGTTGTACAGTAAGTTATTTTGTTGTGCCATAAACATATATATTGTCATGGAGGATGCGTCTGTTCGTGGCTACACATACAATAAGTTCGCTAGGTGCGTCTGGCATGTGTTCTGCAGCGCTCGGTGAAATAAGTCAAACGCTTTAGGGCCACTCTGCTGAACCAGCTGCACGACCTTCCTCCGTTTATTGAACTCTACCTTCTCTGCCTGAAACATATAAGTGTTCATTATTGATTTTAACCCTAAACCATACGTATATCGTTACCCCACAAATAAGTGTAAAGTGTACATGATGATCATGTGTGATGAGCCCACAATAAAGACACAGATATTATAAGTATACTTGCCTGAATTATGTCCACGTGGTATTGCAGGAACATCCCACTTGCTTCCAACTCTACCATGACTAGCTCCACTTGTAAGTCATTACAGAATGCTACAAGATTCTTGGTAAGTATCTTTCTATGGGCAGGATCCATCCCAGTAGGCGCATTTCCATGCCTGGCCACTGTAATGTCAGTTCTCGTAGTTATCACCAGGTGGCTGCACCTTCCAGCATTTTACTGTTTGGGACTGTATGGATTCTTGCGATTTGAGAACTGATTTCCTGTTAGTAATTTTCGGTTTATACGTTGTTATCTAGTTGTATTTCTAGTTTACGTGACCAAGAGAGAAGTGAACTAAATGTAAAGAGGAGGTGATCATGTGATCTGAATAAAACTATCGTTTTGACTGGACTTGACCGACTTCCTAAGTCTTTCTCGACGGGTGCCGTAACAGTAAACTCTAAGGTTGAACATCTCTCGACGTTCAGCAAGTCAAGACGTAAGAACTCTTAAGGACTCTTGATAAAAAGGTAAAACATTGACATAAAAACCAGAAAGATGTCAGAACTCGATGACGGTAACGAGCCGAACCTGGCTGAGGTTCCAGACCCCCAGGGGACCGATGATACGGAAGTCGGACAGCCCACCACAGAGGTAAAGTTGCCTGGTGCCGTAGGCGGGAATCCAGAGCCCAACGGTAAACGGAAGCAGGTGTTAACAGAAAAAGGGGCAGATTACTTCAAGGAAGTGAAGTTGGCCAATCGTAATGCCTGCAGCACAGCACGCCGAGTATGCAGGCCACAGACCTGGAACCCGCCAGTCGATCTCACCCGCGTATCCATGGCGAAATGTATGGGGGCAGGGCTCCAGCTTCTATTGGGAGCGGCGCTCGCTGGTGCGCTCACCAGAATACGAGGAAGTTGCTCCATGCAATTGGCAACGGGCTGGATGACGACCATCGCACAAGGAGAGAACCCTATATTATAGCGGCCTTGTAAGCAAGGGCCTGATCGTGGTTCGGGCTACTCGCGATACGTGGTTCTCCACGGAGGAGGATAGGCACAGTTCTCGCGGATTAGATCTAGCAGTCGATCAGGACTCTCGGCTGGCGTAACTATCATGGCAGGATGACGGAGAGATTCAGCGCGACGCGAGTTCATAGGCCGGCGCGCCTTCAGGAACAGGCAGAGCTGAGAGGCCAAGTTGGCGCTCGAGCTCAAGGAGGAGATAATGCAGGGGTAAGGAAGCAGTTAAGTCTCAGTTGACGCTGGTGCAGGTGTGATAGATAGGGATGGAAATTAACGAGCGTGGTGACTTTGAACCCGACCACCTTAGCAACAACGTTAATGTTATGCCTACCCTCGAGGAGACGGCCGCAGCTAGGACCGCTCACTTTGTGGCCAACAGTGGTCAACACGCCATAACTCGAAGACAGGCTCAGACAGCACCTGTTGTAGTCCAGCCTCCCCAGACACTATCTCCTGATGCTCAGCCATACGTCCCAGCACCGGACCTGGGTTCCATCACCAAGGAACTTAGGAAACCACAGATAGAACTCCAGAAGTTCGGAGGAGACCCGATGGAATATCCACGTTTCCTTCAGCAGTTCAAGACGAGAATAGTTGCGTACACAGACTCTGACGATGAGAGACTTAGCTACTTGGAACAGTACACCACTGCGGACGCTCACAAGATAGTAAAAGGGTACTCACACCTAGAGAGTACGGTAGGTTATAAAGCCGCCATAGACGAATTGAAGACTAGATATGGCGACCCGGAAGTCGTTGCAGCAGCCTACATAAAGAGGGCATTGTACTGGCCAGTCATAAAGCCGGACAACGCTAAGGCCCTGGATAACTTTGCAGTGTTTTTGATGGAGTGTCAACACGCGGTGGGTAGTGTTCAAGCCGGCCAAGTGCTGGAGTATGCTGACCATATACGGCAGCTTCTCAAGAAGCTCCCCTTCTATCTGCACGATAGGTGGGGGACCATCGTTCAGAGAACAAGAGACTCCGAGCGCGTTGTTCAGTTCAAGCACTTGATGGACTTCGTCCGTGGGGAAGCTAAAAAAAGCCACGGACCCTCTATACAGGAGGGACGTTCTGTCTGCCGACAACAGAAAGACAGCCGGTGGAAAACAGTTGTATAGTAAAGCAAAAAGCGGCATGCGTAGCCTGGCTAGCAGCGCCGAGAATGGTGGTTCTGACCGCCCCACTCAGGGGTTGACAGAGACCAACTGGAGGAGAGCAAAGAAATTCGCCTTTGAAGCTCTATGCGGATTCTGCAAGGACGCTAACCATGCCATGAATCAGTGCGAGAACTTTATAGCTAAGCCAGCTAACGAGAGATCAGAGTTCGTCAAGGCAAATAGACTCTGTTTCGGCTGTTTGAAGCTGGGACACAGGAAACGAGAATGTAGAGGACGAGAGGCCTGTAAGAAGTGCGGAGACAAGCATCCCACTTTATTACACGACGAGCGTCGAGTAAGGCCACCATCGCCACCACAAGGTAAACCTAACAATACCTGGGCTACCGGCACAGCCAACGAGGCACTATGTTCTATGGGAGCCGGAGACGCCGGAGAGTGTACAATGGCCATTGTACCAGTCTTGGTCCAAACTCGGAGCAACACCACTGTGGAGACATATGCTTTTCTCGACACTGGCAGTAATGTCAGTTTCTGCAATAAGCTCGCAAAGCAGTTGGGCGTGACAGGACAAAAAAGGACAATTATCCTCGACACCATGGGAACGCCACACTGCATGACAACTCGCCGGATTAGCGATCTGGAGATCAGTGACTTGGACGGCAGTGACCATGTTCGCTTGCCGCCACTTTATACAAGAAGAGGATTCTGGCGACACAGCGACACATTCCAACCCAGCACGATATTGAGATGGGACCATCTACGAGGGATCACGTTACGCACGTTAGATGCAGATATCGGTCTGCTGATAGGGAACAACGTGCCGGATGCTTACACCCCTCAGTTAATCAAGACAGGACCTCGTGGTAGTCCTTATGTAGCTAAGACTATTAGGCTGGATCCTGTGGAACATGATAAGAGACCAAGACTGTGTACAAGGACAGTCGGCCACCACTGCTAGGGTAGAGGTGATGGCTGTGGAGGCGCTTGAGCAGAACGGAAAATTGGAACGTCTCGTCAGAAACGCGATCGACATGGACTTCCCTGAACGTGGTGTCGACTCCAAGAGAGAATCTTCAGTGGAGGATAAACAGTTCAAGGTGATAGCAGAGCAGTCGATGGAACGTAAAGATGGTCACTACAACTTGGATCTCCCTTTCCGCAGCAAAGAGGTCAGACTACCTGACAATCGCGGCCAAGCCTTGAATCGCACGTTATCACTGCGCAGGAAGCTGGTGAAAAACCCGGACTTTCACAGAGACTATTCGAGCTACATGAGTAACCTCATTGAGAAGCGTTATGCCGATAGGGTTCAGGCCGAACCCCACGACCCGGACGCGAGGGGACAAAATGGTATATCCCACATCACGGTATATACAACCCGAGCAAGCCTGGGAAAATCCGCGTGGTTTTCTACTGTTCCGCAAAGGTGATGAAGCTATCCTTGAATGACACACTGATCCCAGGACCGAGTGGTATCCTGACCAACAGCATTGTGGCAGTGTTGTTGCGTTTCCGTCAACAGCCAATCGGCATAATGGGAGACATAGAAGGAATGTTCAATCAAGTAGGAGTCAGTGAGCGGCATAGACTGTATGCGGTTCTTCTGGTACCCAGACGGCGAGCTCTCCAGGGAGCCCTGCGTCTACAAGATGAAGACGCATCCGTTCGGAGCGGTAATAAGCCCGGCCATAGCAGCTACCGCCTTACGGCAGTGGGCTCTAGATAGTAAGGACGACTTTCCGAAGACTCCTCCTCCTCCTTCCTCCATCCTTAACAGTTTCTATGTGGATGATCTGCTGAAATCCATGGAGGAGAAAACGGCTGCAGTGGAGCTGAGAAAGGACATCACATCTGTTTGCAGTCATGGAGGCTTCCGGCTACACAAGTGGGTCACCAACAGTAAGTCCGTCGCAGATTCGATTCCACCATCTGAAAGAGCTAGCCAAAAGCCAGTGGTCATCGGCAGTGATCATAGTACTCAACAGGCCGAACGTGCCTTGGGAATCTACTGGGACGCGGTGGAAGACACCTTCGGCTTCAAGTTATGCATACGTGAGAAAGAAGCCACTAAGCGGGGAATTCTCTCGGTGATAAGCAGCGTCTTCGACCCGCTTGGGCTGGCCGGACCGTTCATCTTACCTGCCAGAGTGTTGCTCCAGGAACTCTGTAAGAAAGGGCTGCCCTGGGATGAAGAGATCGACGAGGAGGAAAAGAAGCAGTGGTATCGCTGGTTCACGGAGATCCAGCAGTTGGAGCACATCTCGGTACCGAGGAGCCTGCGGCCTGAGACATTTGCAGTAATCGATTCTTGCCAGCTTAACGCATTCGCTGACGAATCAGACCAGGGATACGGGATCGCAGTCTTTGTGCGTCTGCAGAGCACCGATGGTCAGGTGCACTGCTCGTTGCTGTTTGGAAAGTCGAGAGTCGCTCCACTCAAGAAGGTAACCACACCAAGAATGGAACTCACAGCGGCCAGTGTTGCCGTGAAATTCGTCGCCATGATAACCGAGGACATGGAGTACAACTTCAATAGAACTGTGTATTGGACTGATAGTCTCGGTGCTACGCTACATAGCTAACCGGACAAGTCGTTTTCACACGTTCGTGGCCAATCGGTTCGCCACAATTCAAGAGGGATCCACTCTAGATCAGTGGCGGTATGACCCCACCCAAAACAACCCAGCAGACATAGCATCCAGAGGGATACTTCCTAGAGATAAGGCTGGAGTAGAACGGTGGTTGAAGGGACCGGGCTTTCTATGGGAGCCGGAGACGGAGTGGCCCGGGGTTCCCTTCCCAATGGAGCTGCCAGTAGGAGATCCTGAGGTCAGGAAGACGCATGCTGCTCTAGTCACACCCGATGAGGGCCCCGGTGTTGGTAGCTGCCCTGCAGTGGACGAGCTCTTGGACAGACACCTCAGCTTGGCTGCCATTGCTAAGGAAAGGGATGAGACTGTACATGTAGACGAGATGTTTGCAAGATTCTCAAAATGGATGCAGCTGAAGAAAGCAGTCGCATGGATAATCCAAGCACAAAAAAAGCTTCAGAAGCCGCCATCTTCCTGGTGGAGACCTGGTCGCCGTTCCGGTGAAGGAGTCGCCGATACTTACCCCAGAGGAGTTGGAGCAGGCCGAACTAGCGGTAGTGAGGTATCTACAGGACAAGCACTTCCCAGACAGTGGTAAGCGCCTTGGGTCGATACAGCGTCTGGATCCGTTCAGAGACGAAGCCGGATTGCTGCGTGTTGGAGGACAGCTCAGCCGGGCCGAACTTCCCGTCGAAGTGAAGCACCCTCTACTGCTACCCAAGGACTTGCCAGTGACCAGACTTGTGGTTCTAGATGCCCATCGAAGTGTTGGTCACCTTGGTTCTAACAGTACACTCAACCGATTGAGACAAAAATATTGGATACCCCGAGCTGGTCTACTGATCAGGAGTATCATTCACAAGTGCACGATATGTCGTCGTTATCGCACTGCAAGTCCAGAAGATGGCAGATCTGCCCAAGCAGCGACTTGAGATGGACAAGCCGCCGTTTCATCAGTCTGGAGTAGACTACTTCGGACCCTTTAGCGTTAAGATAGGGAGAAGTGTCCACAAGCGCTATGGATTTATCTTCACTTGTTTTTCAAGCCGTGCTGTTCACATTGAGGTATCGGATAGCCTCACAACGGATTCGTGTGTTAACGCAGTACGACGTTTTGCTGCTAGGAGAGCAGTCCGGAAGTTGAGATCGGACAACGGTTCAAACCTGGTTGGATCTTGCAGGGAGATGCAAGAGGAGATCGAAAGGTGGAACACATCCAAGATTGGTTCAACGTTACTACAGCAGGGAATCGAGTGGGAGTTCAACTGTCCCACTGCTTCACATCACGGTGGCGCATGGGAGCGTATGATCCGCTCTATTCGTAAGGTCCTTTATGGCGTTATGGAGCAGGTGATCTGTCTAAATGACGAGGGTCTACACACCCTCTTCTGCGAGGTCGAGTCGATCCTGAATGGTAGACCTATCACGCGGGTTTCCGCTGACGCAGTGGATTCTCCCGCATTAACTCCGAACCACTTGCTAAAGCTGTCGTCCGGCCAATCACTACCACCAGGTCTGTTCGTTAAGGAGGACAACTACGTAAAACGAAGGTGGCGTCAGGTACAACACCTGGCTAACATGTTCTGGCGTCGATGGAGCACAGCATACTTGCAGCAACTGCAGGAACGTCAGAAATGGCAAGAGGAGGAACGTAATGTGAGTGTCGGCGACATTGTGTTAGTAGCGGACAGTAGCATGCCAATGAACTGATGGCTTTTGGGTCGTGTTACCGAGGTTGTCAAGGGCAACAAGTGACTACTACTAGTGCGCGTTGTTAGAGTACGAGTTGGCAATGCCACATATGAGTGTCCGATTACCAAGTTGTGTGTAATCCTGGAGGCGGACTAATCGGCTAGACGGTATGGACAGTCCGTTCGTCTTCCATCAGTTGGAGGAGCCCAGGATCAAAGACTAGAGTTATCTACTGTGGAGAAGGACTATACTCTGTTTCAAGTTCTAGGACACTTGGGTTTTCATGTTCTGTTTTCGGAGTTGAAAACAGTACAAGTTAAGAGTTGTGTTTATTATGTTGTTATACATGTAGGTGGTAATTGTCATTGTCGGTTGACAATTAGGGAGCCGGTGTATCGGGAGTAGAACCTTATTTGGGCACACCCGGTAGGGCTGGGCTGCCCCGCCACCTGGTGTTAGGTAATGTAGTTATTTCGGCCATTGTTGTTGTTTAAACCACGCGGGACCATTTTTAGTTTCTGCTTGTAAAAGTGTAGAATTTGCTACTTAGAGAGTTTGTCCCTGTACTAGAGGTAAGCATATGTATAGAACACATTGTGGTGAAGATGTTTGAGGGGTTTAGGCCGATTAGGCACCCGGATAATTACTGTATAAGGACTTCTTTGTCCAATCTGTCAGAAACTTGGCGATGTGCCCTTCTGGTGTCTAGCTTGAGAATAAATTATTCAGTGTTTTCTTTAGCATTCGTTAGTGGCACTGTTTAGGCCCTGTCGAGTGGAGAAGTCATGTCCTGAGTTAGCTGTGGTATTGTTTAAGGACATTTTCATAGTTTTAGGCCCAGTTTGTGCAGTTGTAGGCGCATTTCCATGCCTGGCCACTGTAAAGTCAGTTCTCGTAGTTATCACCAGGTGGCTGCACCTACCGGCATTTTAGTGTTTGGGACTGTATGGATTCTTGTTATTTGAGAACTGATTTCCTGTTAGTAATTTTCGGTTTATACGTTTGTATTTCTAGTTTACGTTACCAAAATCGATGTGACCAAGAGAGAAGTGAACTAAATGTAAAGAGGAGGTGATCATGTGATCCGAATAAAACTTTCGTTTTGACTGGACTTGACCGACTTCCTAAGTCTTTCTCGACAGGTGCCGTAACACCCATGATGCCGGGATCACTCGGACCATAACGTTTTCGGTCAGTGCCAAGCCACACGTTATTACTATTAACTACCATAGACCCTGCATACAATAATACAATAGCAGTCTACACCAACTGAAAGGTGGTGCCACCATGTGAGCATAATAGAAAACATTAGTATACAAGAATCAGCAATACATATATGCTAATGATTTGTATTACTGCTAATTTAGCTTGCACATGGGACACGTGAAAATAAAAATAAACAATATTATCAACATTACTGTACTGTGCATACATCAAAGTGAAAACAACCACTTGTATCTAATCGTTACAGTGGTAGTGCAACAGCCATATTATCAAGATATCGTTGCCGAAATTCTGCACAAGCACCCACCTAGCTAAGATGCACAATGAAGCCTAACTACAGTCAATACACTATTGCATAGATACTACGCAAGCAACTATCTACAAGTGCTGTGTGATGACTATAGCACCATCTACGTTCACTCACCAATCATCGCGCCCTTCTGTACTTTGGCCAGTTCACTGATTGGCACAAAATTGAAGCTCATCTTTGGAATGCTGGCAGATTCGTCCATACATAGCGTCACCTCTGTGTCTCTGTTGAACGTCATCTCATAGTCATTCTGGATGGTCGCAAACTTCTTATTTGCTGTCTTCAGCTGTGCTTTAGTTATGATGTATACCTACAATGTAATGGAATCAATGCAATTTAATGCAAAGTAACTTGATGTAAAATGTGATGGAAAGTAAAGTAATGTGTGACAGAATGGAAGATAACAATTATCTATAAGATCTAATATGATATTGTGAGATATATTGGCTATTAACATCACCTTGTCCAATTCCAACATGTCGAAATACTTGTCGCACTCCTGGTTGAATGCTGTCGCACGTATCTCTCCACTCTCATCAATCAGGTCTAAAGAGAACAGTTTTCCCTCACCGCGCGAATTCGACCAGGTTCGTATATTGGTCTTCTTCGTCACCCTAACTTTGATTGACCACCTGTGAAGGTACATCGTGGGTACAGGTAAAGATGCACCATTTAATTGAGCAGATACTGCCATTCATCAATATCTCTCTCTTCCTTTTCCTACCCCTCACTTTCTACCACCATTTCTCGCTCTCTTGCTCTCTTTCTCTCACTAGTTTCTATCTTGCTATCTCTCTCTCTCTCTCTCTCTCTCTCTCTCTCTCTCTCCCTTTTTCTCTATCTCTCTCTCAATCACTATTTCTCTCACTAGTCCACATCTATTTGATCTCATCCTATAAGATTTTGAAAGACTGGCCAATACTGCTCTAACATCTGGTTTACACATGTGGCACAGATGTTACATTGCATTAGTAATCGTAGATAGTTTAGTTGTACATATAAGAAGGGTTCAGCGTTTAGCATGCAGATGAGAAATAGCTAGGTTGGGACTAGTAGACGCCGTTACACATCTGCGGGACAGTTTGTGCATTTCGCGCGTAATAATTCGAATACGGGAGTGTTGGTGTGTGTGATTGGCTGGGGTAGTGGAACTGGGCCGTGATTGGATGCGGGGTTCATATATAAGGGACTGGAGAGCATTTGAACGGGACGGTTGGAACAGGACAGGACGGGACGACGAGATGGTGACTGTTATGTTTGTAAACAATATATTTCTTTAATTGAACACAAATTCTATATGTCTTCTTGATTATTTATACTCTAAATTATAACATACAAACTACGTCCGTACATTTGGTGCTACGTGACAATTCGGACTGGGTTATTTCAAACATTGAAACAACGCTGGTAGGTATTTTTCGCTATATCGATCGACACGGGCCTACAGACTGTATCATCGCCGGAGCCAGAGAACTTAAGAGTACACGACCGGCGGCCGACAGTTATGTATATTTGGTGAGTACTGTAGTGAAATAAGTGGTAAACATTGCGTATGTACTCACGCTATGGTACCGCTAGTACCGTTAGTACGCTAAAGCCGTGTTGAATCGGTAAAAGGTAGTAAATAGGTAACGTTGTAGCACTAACGTGACTAAGACTAAGACTAGGCCTAGCCTATACATACTATAGCCGTCATTATGGCACACCAAGTAGGAGTTGAAGATTTAGCTAATTTATTCTCGCAAGTGCTAGTCCTGACTATAGAAGCGTTAAGTACTAGATTAAAAAGCTCGGGGCGGCAAGCTGAACTTCGCAGTTCAGTCCCGTGTTACACGGGCGATAACGGGCCGTATTCCGTCACGTTTCGATCGTGGGAGAGGTCGCTGCAGATCGCGCAGTTAGAACTAGCATTAAGTGGGGTGTCGCTTCGGACGTTCGCCGTTTCTACGGTTGGAGGAGCTGTTGCGGATTTTGTCGGCGGCAGATTGCAGCTAATGCCGAGGTAACGTGGAACGAGTTGTACGCACAGGTACAGTCACGTTTTCGGTCACCTGCCGAGCGGCCACATGTGCAGAGGGAAATGAAACCGTTTCGCCAGTTACCGCGTGAGACGCCACGCGCATGTGCTGATCGTCTGCTCGAATTTGCGGGAGCAGCTTATCCAGAAATGCACTTAGATGCTGTGTTAATGCAAGCGAGACTTGTCGAATGTTTTGTAGATGCTTTACAGAATTTATCGACACAAAGATCGCTAATAGCACGCCCACCGACGACGCTCGAGGGTGCGTGTGAGATTGCAATGGCCGACGCTCGGATCGAGGCGGATTTGTCTTCTCGTCGGGGGTCACACCAGGTGTCAGAACGGTATGGACAATTCGATGAGCCGATGGAAGTCGATTCTGTTCGACGGGCGGCCGATAGCTCTCGAACAGAGATTCGAGAGTTGAGGGAAGTGATTAAGACGCAAGCAGATATTCTTTCTATGGTGCGGAAGGGCAGTTCACAGGACCGACGCATGCAGAACGAGGCGCGAGACTTCAGGCAGCCTGGTATGCGACCGCTAGCCTCATGGCACAACACGCCGGGAGCGACGCGAGGAGGTAGACAGGAGGTGCGGTTCCGTGAGGAGAGAGGGAGCAATACCGGTCCACATAGAGGGAATGGTTTGGTGTTTTGGATGTGGTAGAGCTGGGTACACCCGCAGTACCTGCCCATGTTCGCGGCAGGGAAACGCCACACGCCCGCGTATGTGAGGAGACAGTGCGTGGGTGGTAAGATTAAGAGAGAGAATTCCTCGTGGGTAACGTCGGTTGCATTCACGAAGCCCGTGCACGCACCACGGTGTACGGCTTACGTGGGGAGAGATAGGCAACATAAGTTAACGGCTCTCATCGATTCCGGAGCTGATTGTTCATTGTTAGACTCTAAGGCGTGGTTTAATCTACCGTATGTCACGCGACGAGATTCTAATTTTGTTGATTCTGTTTTCAGCAAGGCAGTTCTACAGTCCGTCACTGGAGAGAGATTGTCAATAGTTGGGCGAGCTATGCTGCAGGTAACTTTGGGTCGAGTTATGGTACGGGCGCCATTTTACGTTGTGGAATCATTGCATAACAGTATTATCATTGGAGCTGATTTTCTTAAGCAGGTTCGGGTGCGTTTGGATTTTGGAGCGTCGATACTGACGATTGGTAATAGTGTAGTCCCACTGTCGACGCATGGGAACAAGGAGCCGCCGCAGCTGGCTCTGCTGAACAGAGGTATGCGATTACAGCCTGCGACGACAACAGTTTGTGAGTTCCGTGTTCCAAGGGGGATAGAATCGGGAACTCGGGTGAAGGTAAGAGGTTCAGCATGCTTGAAGTATTTTTGCTCTCAGCCACAGTTGCGCGTGGAACAAAAGGTTGATACAGTCAGTAAACACCACACAGTGCGGTGTACGCTAGTAAATTCTTCAAAGAAAACTGTGTCAGTTCCGCGTAACGCAGTAGTCGGGATTGTAAACATTAGTGCTCCACCTAGCGAGAGTAGTGGGCAGTTGAAACAGTCGGATAAGCGAGATGCGAATGTCGGCACGGATATAGTATGTGGTGTGGGGGAGAATTCTGTCTTGTCTGATGAAATCGTTGCTGGGTCCGATATTCACCACCAGGAGCATGTGGTCGAGGGATGTCAGGATGCACCGGGGGACACTGCTGGTTGGCTCCACTGCATTCTGATTCAGCATATTGCCGCTGCTACTGCTGCTGTGGTGGTTACCGTTGCTACGATTGCTGCTGTTGTTGCTGTTGCTGCTGTGGATGCTGTTGTTGCTACGACTGAGGTTGACGATGATGATGTTGTTGCTGCTGTTGTCACTGCTGAGGCCGACGGTGCTGCTGCTGCTGATGCTGCTACTGATGCTATTGCTGCTGCTGTTGAGATGGATCAGGTTACTATTGCTGCTGCTGCTGTGGCTGCAGTTGGGAATAACGGTAGGTCTGGTAGTATAGAGAAATGCACGCATGCGGATCAGTGTGATTTTCCCACACTCACAAAGCACGTGACGGATGAGGTACAGAGAGAATGTCTCATGGCTCTTGTCACGCAATAATGACGTGTTTGCGAATACTGACAAGGAGCTTGGGTTGACGAATCTCGTTGAGTTCCGTATTGAAACAGGTACAACGCGATCGTTCAAAACGAAACCGTATCGAATGAGTCCGAAACAGCAAGACATTGTGCAGGAGAAGGTGTCCGAGATGCTTGACAATGGCATCATCGTTCCGTCGTCATCTCCTTGGTCTAGTGGGGTGTTGCTAGTACCTAAGAAGGGTGATCAGTGGAGAATGTGTATCGATTATCGTAGATTGAATGCCGCAACTGTCAAGGATAATTTTCCTCTACCAGTAATCGACGACATTCTACAGAATCTTGGCAACGCGAAGTTTTTCTCAACACTTGATCTCAGGTCAGGCTATCATCAGGTTCCGGTTGCACGGGAGGATCAGCCAAAGACAGCATTTACCACAAATTCCGGTCTGTATGACTTTTGTGTTTTAAGTTTCGGGCTGTGCTGCGCCCCGGCTGTATTCCAGAGATGTATGACTATGGAACTTGAAGGGCTTCTTGGGAAAAGTGCGCTCGTCTATATCGATGACATCATTGTGTTCTCACCTGACTTTGAAACTCACATGCATCATCTTGATGAAGTCTTCTCTAGGTTGAGAGCTGCAAACTTGCGAGCAAAACCTACGAAGTGTTTCTTCATGCACAGTTCTGTGCCATACCTGGGGCACGTGATCTCGCCGCAAGGATTGAAGCTTGACCCCGGTAAGATAGAGGCTGTGAGTACGATGCTGCCACCCAAGGATGCTGCAGGAGTTCGGCAATTTCTGGGATTAACAGGCTACTATCGTAAATTCATACGGAACTACGCTGTTATAGCACGACCGTTGACATTGTTAACGGTCAAGAAGACTGAATTCGTTTGGTCTCCTAAAGCACAGGAGGCATTCCAGTCTCTAAAAACATGTCTGACATCTGAGCCAGTCCTTGCACTCGCAGATCGTAATCGACCGTTCATGCTGTACTGTGATGCGTCGGCTATTGCAGTAGGAGCCGTACTCACGCAGAGAGATGAACGGGATCAGGAACATGTGGTGCTCTACTTGAGCAAGCAGTTCAATGAGTGCGAGGCAAGATGGCCAATAGTTGAAAAAGCGGGCTTCGCCGTGGTCTATGCTTTGGAAAAATGGAGGCATTTCTTAATCGGTTCGAGTTTCACGTGTTTCACCGATCATCGGCCCCTAAAGTTTCTCCTTGAGACGAGGTCTATCCGTAACGCGAAGTTGCAGAGGTGGGCAGCCAAGATATCGGAATTTGATGTTGACATCTGCTATAAGGAAGGCCGGTTTAATGTACAAGCGGATGCGTTGTCGAGGCTTATTACAGATGTTCCAGTAGACCAGACTGATAGCAAGGGCGACATCACTGCTGAGGTACCACGAGAACAGGCTATGCTCGTTGCACCTGTAATCTTGCAGGAGGATGGTGCGGCTGTGGTACGTGAGGGTGACAATAATAATCTTGAAACAGATCTCGATGTTTCATCACAGCAGATTCTTTCATTGCAGCAGCAGGACCCTTACGCGAGAGACATGGTTGCAACCTTCGAGGCAGAGCATCCGTCTCTCCGTCAACGCAGGGAGATGGCTTATTTCATACTAGAAGATGGAATTCTTTTCCATCTCGGAGCAGCCACTCATGACAGCGTTCCATGTCGACAACTTGTGGTGCCTAAATCCCTTGTTCCACAGGTGTTGTCGTTGTGTCATGATCATGTGTATGCTGGGCACCTGGGCTTTCAGAAGACGTACTTGAGGGTGGCCGAGCGATACTATTGGCAGCACATGTTCACAGACATTCAGACACACGTTCGAGCGTGTGTGAGATGCAATGCTCGGAAGTTGAGACGAGTACATGGACCCATGAGGAATGCACCATTGCCGAGATATGTCAACGAGACCATTGCCATTGACACTGTAGGGCCTCTACCTGTGTCAGACAGTGGGAACAGGTACATAGTTACGTTCTTGGATCTGTACTCATCGTACCCTGAAGCGTACGCAGTCAGTGACAAGTCAGCCGCGACTATTGCATGGCTCATTGTTGACAGGGTCATCCCTACACACGGTTGCCCATCTGCTTTCATGACCGATAATGGGTCAGAGTTTTGTAATTCCCTTACAGCTGCCATCTCGGAGGAATTCAAAATCCATCACATCCGTACGTCAGCCTACCATCCGGCAAGTAATGGTCAGTGTGAGAGGTTTCATCGCACTTTAAATAATATGATTTTGTGTTATGTGGCGGAATCTGGAAGGGATTTGGATTGAAAGCTGGGTCCCATTCTGTTCGCGTACAGAACTAGTGTACACGGAACAATGCAACTCACTCCGTTTTTTGTTGTCTATGGGAGAGATGCAGTCATGCCTCTGGATACATTCCTTCGGCCATGTAAGGTATCGTACACTGATGATCCAGTGTCGTTGGCGCTCGACGGTCTTCATCGAGCGTACACGCAGATTCAGGAGAACACGAGGCGTACACGGGAGAAGAATAAGGTTATTTATGACAAAAGAGCTAAACAGCAGGAGTTCGTGCCTGGGGACTCTGTTTATTGGTATAATCCTACGACGAAGCCATCCCAGTCTAGGAAGCTTGCCTCGTATTTTCGACCATATTACGTGGTAGTTCAACAGTTGCCAGTAGTTAAATTCCTTATTAAGGATGTTTGGACAGGGCATACACATGCGGTACATGTCGATAATCTGCATCCAGCTTTTCCACAGGGTGCATGGGACAAGTACGTGCCACGGGACAAGGTACTGACGACGGACAGACGGATGCAGCCGGAAAGGAGTGCTAAGTTCGTGCAAGTACCGCACATACAGGCAGCAGAAGCTGATGAGTGGGAGGAAGAGGATCTAATTCCTCTAGCGCAGCTGTAGTAGTGTACTGATATTCAGTGAATTGTCATTAATAATTTTCTACTTACAGATAAACAGTAGAACACAAGGTTAGAATGGCGACACAAGTTACGGTGTGAATGCAGGGTGCAGTGTAAGTGTAGTTAGAAAGGATAGCCTTTACAGAGTGTGCAGTAGGTGTTGACAAATGGTTTGAAGTGCATGCATGTGTTATGGTTGAGTGTGAGTGAGAGTATGATACCAGTTGTAAATAGTGTAATATATTGAAGTGCAGTCTGCTAGTATTATTATGAGGATTGATATGCTGTATTTATGATTAATCATACCGTGATTTAATATTGCTGGTAGCATTGAGGTTCTGGTATCGGGGACCATGGTGCGAGGTGATATATGTTACCTATCAATGTAGGGAATAATTGTGGGTAGAAGTGAAAGGGAGTAAGATGTTAATGGAAGAGAAGGAAATGTTATCATTATAAATGATGGGTGTTTCAGTAAATTGGGTTGGCTTGATACGGAATTTGAATTATGGGTATTACGTAGGATTGCGATTTGATATATGTGAGCGCTCGCATATATTAAAGGCATGGTCATAGTGATATCGGTTAGGAGTGCGATACTGTTCGGTGTTTCTATAATTGTTGCAGTTGCGGGGACATCCAGAGAGGAGAGTACATCGGACGAATCTTCCGCTACACAGAGTTGGTCAAATATTTCGGCAGGACATCGAGGCGGCAGTCAGTATACCAGTTTGGCAAGGAGCGAAAAACTACCGTCATCACATCAGTAACGTCAACACTTCAACGACGCAGTACTTCAGCGAGAATTCAGCAGAGTCGTCGACCTTCAAATTTCTGAGAACAATATTTGTTAACACAAACACTAATGTGTTAGCAGATTGGCAGTGCTGGTGAACTTTTGGCATAAACCATTGGACATTATCGAAGAAATTAAAATGCCACAGCACATTTTGACAATTGCGTCCTGAAATCAATTATGGCACCGGCATCAGAAGAAACAGCGCAGAGATCAACATCAAGGCCAGGGAGGACATCGTAACATCGTCGAGGATCAAGACTATTATATTATATTGTATTGTATGTATTTCATTGTGTTGTTGTTTTGTATTTCAGGTATTGTGTATTATGTATTATGGCATATTATTGAGTTTTGGGGGTTGTATTTCAGGTTATGCATTGTTGGTATGTATGTGGTTGTTGTGTTGCATTGGGGTTGGTGTAGTTTGTGTATTGTTTTAATCCTTCTCTTTTCAGCTTTTCGTTTCAGGGTTTTAAGGAATTGTTGCACAGATTGTTTACTTGGCAATTCGTGTCAAGTATGGTTTTATATCAGTGTGGTCAGTGAGGTTTTGTTGGCGGCAGTGTTAAGCCATAGCATTGGGATACCATGGTACTGGCTTTGGTACCATAGGTAATAGGTTGTGTAAAACTTGTGAATACTTATTATGTGGGGAGGGGGGATGTGTTCAATGAAGGAGTTATTGTAGACGGTATGATGGACAAAGGACAGAATTTATTTGATGTTGGGCTCCATTTCGTCTGGAACAGGGGTGTGTGTGTGTGTGTGTGTGTGTGTGTGTGTGTGTGAGTTAGAGATAGGGGGGTATGGAAGAGTTAAGGGGATATTTATATCAGCGGGGCGCTGAATTCGATGATGGGATCATCGTTTTGATGAAGGGGGAGATAAATGTAACATCTGGTTTACACATGTGGCACAGATGTTACATTGCATTAGTAATCGTAGATAGTTTAGTTGTACATATAATAAGGGTTCAGCGTTTAGCATGCAGATGAGAAATAGCTAGGTTGGGACTAGTAGACGCCGTTACATATCTGCGGGACAGGTTGTGCATTTCGCGCGTAATAATTCGAATACGGGAGTGTTGGTGTGTGTGATTGGCTGGGGTAGAGTGGAACTGGGCCGTGATTGGATGCGGGGTTCATATATAAGGGACTGGAGAGCATTTGAACGGGACGGTTGGAACAGGACAGGACGGGACGACGAGATGGTGACTGTTATGTTTGTAAATAATATATTTCTTTAATTGAACACAAATTCTATATGTCTTCTTGATTATTTATACTCTAAATTATAACATACAAACTACGTCCGTACACTGCACTAATAATAACCTGTTTTGATAGGGAGTCAGACTATCAATTGGGAAGATGGCTGCCTGGGTGCTGCCTGGAGTCCTTTCTTGGTTTCCTCCAACTGGCATAGCTGGAGCTGAAATATATTTAAGATAAATATATACTTGCACATTGCTTTAGTATTCATGCTGCAGGTTCTTAGTGATTTATGAGCAAAAAAAGCACGAAAGCTGAAAAATAATATCATCACAAAGCAATAACACTCTTTTAAAGAGTGCCGATACATTTACATGAGCATTGATTTTTTTCCCAATATCATGTTTCAAAGATGGACAATTCCAAATTGCTGGATTTCCACTTCTATTCAGTGATGAAAGCCACTGTACCTACCTTTGTTGGAATAGAAGCTTGGCTTCTTGGCTGGTGGTGCGGAAACTGCAACATGCAGGGAAAAATGTAACGCTAGATACATGCATGCAAGGGGGCATACAGATCTGAACCTCGTACCAGAAATTACAATTAGAACATCGAGCTGCAACAATCACATTTCAAGCACAGTTGACAATTGTAATGACTTAATTTGTATATCAACGCGACTAGAAATCCGTGCGCATTAGCATAATGTCTACCGTTTGGTTTAGTAGCAGATGCCGCTGGCGCATTTGAATTCGCTTGAGTATCTCCAGCCGCAGACTGATAGGTGACTGGGCTTCCTATCATGCCACCAACTTCAGCACCAGGTGCCACTACCGACACCTGCAGCATGATGACTACCTTCCTGTAAAAGCGGCAGCACAGCTAACTATATATTTAACATTCCATTCATCATGCTATCAAGTGGATATATGCAAACAATTTAGATAGCATTTCTAGAAGCAGGGGTTGAGTGACTATACAAAGAATTATTGCATTTCTATGTGGTGACTAATAGAGATTATATCAGTTTCCATACTGGATTATCAAAAACATTTACTCGCTGCATTTATTGAGATGATTTTGCGGCGATGCCATAGATTACCTGTCTGGCTGCACCTTATTGCAGAGGTACTTTTCAAGCTGTATCACAGTGTTTGCCTCCAGTTGTCCACTCTCTACCAGCCCATTCAGCTGTGTTGCAAGCATTGCAGCTGTAATATCACATACATACAAATACAATCATGATTGTACTTAAGCAGTTTAATTCTCATGATCTTTCAATAATTCTGTTTTCTAACTTTCAGACTTTGGAGTTTTTAAAAACTTAGAACACAGTGGTGATCCTGGTATAATCACGTTAAATATCAAAAATATTGAAGAATTTATCAAGAAAATTTTAGTAACACAACACCATTTTTCGACATACCACATCAAGCATACACGGTGTATCCTAAACATGTGTGAAATAACGACAACTTTCTTACTGATAACATGCAATGCTGTGTTACTCTCACACATATATGAACTCACATGCAATGCTGTGCTGTCCATCAGATAAAAGAAGCCTGTACCGGTCTAGGCCACTTGACTGGCTGCCAGCGAGTTTCTTAATCCCCTATTAACGTTTTTTAACGAAATGACTTAGTAACAGATTAATATATCATTTCAACTGTGTTACTGTTATTGATGTGAACTGAAATCTTAGCCATTCAATTAGTTTGAATTAAGAGCCAAATGCAGTGTCTGTGACAGTGAGTGACTTAATTTAGATTGGGCATTCTTATAAGTTTTTAGATACACAGCCTTACCAAAATCTGCAAAACTGGCTGGTGCAGTTCTTCACCATTCATGATACGCTGGAAAAATAAATGCAATTACTTGGCAGTATTAGCCACCAATACCAGTGCTATGCGCTACTTGTCAATAGCGATGTTGTACTCAAACCTAGAATCTTGAATAAACTAGAAATTTCAGTGCATCCACAGTTTATATGTCACGCTCGTGCACGCACGCACGCACGCAGTGACGCTGAAGGGGTCGTTGTCGTATAGTGTAATATACATTATATGTACCCGTGGTAACTATCTGATATGGTTAGGGTTAAGGTTAGGGCAGTAGGCGGTAGGCACTCCTGGACTAGCATACAGTATTACATTAAATGCATTTATGATATACATATAGTTGAACTCGGGGCCAAGGATAGGAAACATTGGCGTCCCAATAAAACAATGTGGCCCAAGGATAGGCAACATATCCAAATAAACCACATGTGCCCTAAACCTAACCCTAACCCATATAACCATAACCCTAACCTATTATATTGACTTAAATATTATATTTATATTGGATGTGTAAATGAATTGGGTTTAATATGGGACCATGATTCTCTATCCTTGATCTTGAACCACCAATGTGCCTAACGCTAATCCCTAACCCTAACCTATTATATTGAACTAATATTACTATTTAATATCGATGTCTGTTGTAAATGACATTGGTTTTATTGGGGACAATTGTTCTCTTATCCTTGAACGACATTTTGTCCGGGAACGTGAAATCCTGTATTATGAATAACTACTACTTAGTTATTACTGTTTAGTAGTTATATTAGTATTACTATCTAGGTATCGAATATAGCTCTAGTACTATAGCGCTTACAATTAACTGCACGCTGGCGGCAGAGCTAGTACTGAGAAGCTCAGTAACTAAGAGCTGTACTGAATACAAGTATAATACTATTGATTCAGTGATAGTGGATTTGCACGGTTCTTGGTTGACTATTAAAACATAAGAAGCTTACCTTGATAGCACCCTGTGTTAAATTGTACGACATTTTCAGTGTCGTTTTTATGAACTGACGTACGTTTTATGTTATTTTATAGTGAAAATACAGTGTGATGTGATTCTCCCGCCAACATGCACTACTCAGTCTAGACTGGTACCCGGTCGACAGTTCCACACGCTACACTAAGGCTAAACAGAATACGCTACGCGTCAGTGAGTGTAATGCGAAATGATTATGCCGGAGTCGAAGGTGTGCGAACGCGGGTACCATTCTATACTCAGATCTACTGTTCGTGTTCCGCACCAAATCTTTCACGCAACATTTATTTATCATTTATTCATAACATTTCACATTAACATATTTATTATAACAGATAACATAAAATATTAGCACTCTGGCTGCAATACCTATTATCTGAAATTAAGTGATATACAATTAATAATAAATTAAAAAAGTAGATGAATATCGATACAACTTCCTGTTGTGGCAGGGGACTTCCGGTTGCCATCTTTGATTTTTTTTTTGATTTATTTATTTGCGAGTAATTAACAAAGAAGCATACGATTACATCGATACAGGATAAATAAAACAAAATGCCAGCTAGGGAAAATTATCGAGGATGGAAAACAACAAAAAGCAGTGGCTAACACACTTATTTTCCATTGTTGCGTCCACATAACATCTGTACATTACTATAACCCCACAGATCACCACGCATCCCATACTGATATTACCCACGAGATCCCAAAAATTTCAGAGTGATACAGTGATACAGTACAAAAACATTGTTATACAGCATGAAGAAAAAATTATCAAACAAAATTTATAAAATATAAAAAAACGTTTAGCATATATATGTAAAAGTAAAGGATTAACGGGTAGGTGTTGGAAGCAGTCAGTTATAATAAAAAAAAGAAAAAAAAGGCAGTTTCTGGAGTGATACAATTACAACAGTGTATATACACGCAAGAAAAAAATTTAAACGACGAGGAAAAAAACCACCCTCCAAAAAAGCATAATACAACCAAAACCAGCACCAAAACCCACCAAAACACATTTTTTTTCTTTTTCCAGCATTATTGTGTCACAAGTAGAGTGATTACGGGTAAGTGTTATTAGCAGATAGAAATGATTTTCCTGAGCGGCATTACAGTACAATAGCAGTGCAGAACAACCATGAAGAAAACACACTAAAACACACAACAAAAAACTTCATCAAACCTTTTCTGTACAATTCAGTAACCATTTTAGCCACATACATTTCGACACTCGGTCATACACCTTATATCCACATTACAAACATTACATATTTCGCACACATTCACAATTGTATAGATATAACGAAATTGAAAAGTGCATGATGATTGGGTAGTAAAATGGTAATTTGATGATAGGCCTATAGCTACAAAGCAGATGCATACATAACAAACATGAAGAAAATAGATACAACGAAAAAAAAACGTTCCGTATAACATTGTGCAGGCAAAGTGGGCACAATACCATCGATTATATATACATAATTGCATACAATACCATACACCCAACTCATCATTATATAAGTGTAATATAATTTATGTAACGGATAATACAGGGAGGCCTGATACGACTTCATATTCAATTATAAAGGACGCTGATAATTGTAATAGTATGAGATCCAGTGATCACCCATATATTTAATCTTTCATTTATACGTGAATTAGTTAAAAATAGGAAGTCAACTGTCTGTCGCATTGCTCTTTAACTTTATCCGATAAGGTTGTTTTTTAACTTGCCCGTTTGCAAACTATATAATCTGGCCTGCCCAGAATCTATGTCGAGAATGGTAGCGGAGTTCCAAAGCTTCAATTGAACAGCTATATATTAAAATGTCTTTTTTCGCATTGACGCCTCTTCGGCTTTAAGATTGAAGCTCCCAGCCTAGTTTGAAGCCGTGAATTTCAGAGGTTATGTAAATCATTCAGTCATGTATTCGGGATAGAGGATTATGCAGGCTGTTTGAAACATTGGTTACTACCCTTCCCACCGCTCACATGATACTACTACTGAATCTCGACTGGAACAAATTTAACAGCAGCGCAAGAATCCCTTGCACCTATGATTGGCGTTTCTTCGCCCCAGATTTTAGACACACAGTCTAACAGCTTTATTTTGGCATACAGCCCGTGCACTTGCCATTTTCGTTTTCATTGACTAGGCTACTGTACCAAATATACACGCATAATCAATGACAAATTAATCAAGGCAGGCATAACTGAGTGTATTTTTTACGCTTATTTTGGTTTAAATTAGTTTAGCTTTCCGCATTAAATAATTTTTAGTCTATTCTTGAGCCTTTTTGACAACTTTGGTTCCCTGTACACTCTTCAGCAATCAAATTGTGTTCTAGTCCACTCCTAAACTTTTTACTAGCGTCAATTATTTGATATTGAACCCATTGCATGTGCAACACGTTGTAAGTCGTCTTGACATTTTATTTTTTTGATCCCAACAAGAATGGTTTTCCTGTATTTTCCAAGAGTGCAGGGACTAGATTGTTGATCACACAGCTCATCTAATAACCAGATTCCATTTACAAGCTTAATTTTTCCTGAGATAACAACTGAATGTCAGTTCTGATTACTAACAGCGCTGAGTCAACTCGCAGTTACAATTAAAGCTTAGTTTTTACGCGATCTGCAATATCTTTACATAATTAAAAGCAACGGTCCTAAAATCGATCCTGAGTCACCACATGTTATATCATTTTTGTAGAAAAAGTACCTCCGACATCTGTTCAATCTGGCTTCTTCGTGCACGATAAGGCTTGGACACACTTCGACCACCTATAGTGTAGACCAATTGCTTTTAGTTTGGATAGTTAAGATTAGAGTGGTCAAACGTATCGATGCTTTATTGTAGATCCTAACACGTACCATCCCAGTGAAATACCATTTATATCTGTTGTTCATCCGAATGTAATCCGCTTAAGCTGAATTCAAGCGCTGATCTTGGAATCC